TCCGAAGAATTCGCTACTGGTTGACGGCTGGGTCTTCCTCGAGGCGGAGGAAGAGCAGGAGTGACGGGAGCATCACTGAACACAGGTTTCAGTCGATCAACAGAAACTACATCTTGTTTGGAACCAATCTGGATGCGGAAGTATTTGCTCCGCCTTTCTAAAACCAGGTAGGGCCTGCGATAACGAGGAGCTAGAGTTGGTATGACTGCATCCTCGCGAACAAACACGAATTTAGCTTTCAAGAGGGCTGCAGGAAGCTGAGACGGAGGAACTGTATGAACATGATGAGGCGGAGGAACGGCAAAACCATCAATGGCTCTTTCAACCTTCCTCAGGAATGATTCAGGCCGAATTTCCGGAACATCCAGAAGTTCACCAGGCAAAGTTAAAGGAGAACCATAGACAGCCTCGGAGACTGAGAGGCCAGTATCATCCTTCGGAGTAGCTCTCAAACCCAAGAGAACCAAAGGAAGGTGAGTAAACTAGTCTGAACCTGCTAACCTGGCCCGGAGAGAGGATTTTAAACTTCTATGGAATCTCTCGACCATACCGTTACTTTGAGGATGGAAAGAGGTCGTAGTAGAGGGTGAAATCCCTAAAACCGAACAAACTCCGTTCCAGATTGAAGATGTGAACTGGGAACCTCTGTCTGATGTGAGAACTGCAGGAACTCCGAACCTTGATATCCAGGTTGAGATGAAAGCACAAACACAGGACTCAGCGGAGATAGAGGATAACGGAACAACCTCAGGCCATCTTGTAGTCCTGTCTATCATAGTTAAAAAATAAGAATGGCCTTGACTGGAGGGTAGAGGACCCACAATATCAACATGAACGTGAGAAAACCTCCGGGTTGGAACTGGAATAGATGGAACAGTAGAGTGAATGTGAGTTGAGATTTTGGATTTTTGGCAAGGAATACAAGACTTTGTCCACAAACCGACATCCCAAGACATTCCAGGCCAGACAAATCTTGACGAGATTAATTTCCTGGAAGCTCTGACACCAGGGTGAGATACACAATGAAGCTGATCAAACAGTATACGACGTAGTTGAAGAGGAACCAGGGGGCGAAGAGAACCGGTTGAAATATCACACAGAACTTCTCCTGAACTCAAAGGATGAACAATTACTGACAGAGAAGGGTTTGATTTCATTTCTTGTACGGACGAACAGGCAATTTGGAACCTGGATAAACTTGAAACATCCAAACCATCAAAAACTGGTTTACTTGAAGGATCTCCGCCCGGAGCTGGGACCAAGGCGGATGTAAAATCCTTTTTATCACTAGTTAGAAACACTGTAGGAAAGGGACTCGAAACTTCCGTCGTCTCCGACACCTCCGACACCACAGGAGGCAGGGAACCAGGGGTTGAAAAGGCGTAAGGCTTAACAGGCTTAGACGGAGATTGGAAGGAACTTGGAGCAGGGTTTAAATTGGAGCAAGGTTTAGTTGGACTCGGAGAAACTGAGAACGGATTTGACTCAGGGTTTGGAGCGGAGCTGGGCGAAACAGGCCGGGACAGAGCTTCAGCTACAACATTCTCCTTGCCAGGAATATGAACAATGGAGCTAGTAAATTCTGCCAGGTACGATAGGTGTCTCTGCTGACGAGCTGACCACGGAGGACTTGACCTGAACAAAGCATGAGTTAATGGCTTGTGGTCAGTAAATATTGTAAACTCTCTACCTTCGAGCATGAAGCGGAAGTGACGAACAGAAGAGAGAGCAGCCAGGAGTTCTCTGTCGAATGCGGAGTATTTCTTCTCAGCGTCAGAGAGTTTCTTGGAGAAGAAAGCCAGCGGAGACCAAGATTTATCCGGGAGTTGTTGTTGAAGGACAGCTCCAATGTGTGAGTCTGAGGCAACCACAGCAAGAGAGATTGGCGCATTGCATTGAGGATGCACTAACTCTGGAACAGATGAGAGGAGTCTCTTTGCTCTAGAGAAGGCGGAGTCCATGAGTGGAGTTCAGGAAATGGTTTTTCCATGACCTTTAAGAGTGTCTGTGAGAGGAGCAAGGACTTGAGCTGCGGAACAGAGAAACTTCCTGTAAAAATTAACGATTCCGAGAAACCTCTGGAGGCTGGGCTTGTCTGTTGGCTGTAGAAAGGCGGAGATAGCGGCAGAGTGCTTCACCAAGGGTGAACAACCAGAGGCGGTGAGGCGATGACCAAGGAACTCAATCTCCTCCACAGCATTCACAGCATGAACCGAATCCACAGCGTTAACCGAAGATCTGGGAGACAGACTGCTTCGGTAGATCTCGTCAGCACGTTGCGAGAGAACAGCGATGTCCACAGTTTTATCATGCACTAAATGTGACCTGACATCAGATGGAAGTTGTCTGAGGAAAGCGTACCGAAGGAACAAACATTCTTGATGCTATATAGGAAGAAGAGCCCGCATCCTGGACAATAACGCTGAGGGCAACATATCTCCAGACAATGGAAGAGACATAATCGATTCACAATGAGCATAATCTGTTAAAGAATGTGTCTGTAACAGACGAGACTTGAGAGTACTGTAAGGATCGGCTACAGGTGGGTTCCTGATGATGTCGACGACGTTATCGATTTCCTTCTGGGGTAAAGAAGCCACAACATGATGGAAATTGGTGCTGCTGGCGGTGATGTTCTTGAGATGGAACTGCGACTCTGCATTAATGAACCAGGATTCGCAACTGTCAGGCCAGAAAAAAAGAAGTTTAACTCAAAACACTGAGTTTTTATGTTTATGAAAAACTGAACAACTCGGTGGGTTGTTTCACTTTTAGAACTTAAGAAAAGGTATTCAAATCACGTCAGGGTCACCAATTTGGCGATCAGCTAAATAAACTTCGAAAGGTTCAAGATTAACTAACTATATATTAATGTCTAAATTACATGGTTAAAAAGTCTGGTGAAATACGTGGCTCAGGAAACTCCCCTTTAGCTTCTCAGCTGCCGCGGAGAATTCTCCAAGAAGGACGACTTTCATAACCGCCACAAGATAAACTATGATGTTCAAAAAATTGAAAATCCAGCTGTTAGTCTTGATTTTTATTAATCTCAGGCTTAATATTGCATTAGACGGAATTGATTAAAATTATGCAGTCTCCAGTCTCATCTCTCCATGTATTTATTTAAGATAATAATAATTTAAATTGAATATTTCTTTTACAGTGTGCACTGTCCAGTTTAAAAACTGATTGTGCAGAATACAGTTTAATGACTGTACAGTAAACATTGTCTAGTGTAAAGAATTAAGCTTGTACAGAGTACATTCTAATGACTGTACAATGAACAGCATACATTGAAAAGAGTGAAGATTGTACAGAGTACAGTTTAATGACTGTACAATGAACAGTGTACATTGAAAAGAGTGAAGATTGTACAGAGTACAATGTACAGTGTACAGTGTAAACAGTACAGACTGTACAGTGAACAGTATAATGAATGTACAGAGACAATGCACAGTGTACAGTGTAAACAGTACAGATTGTACAGTGTACAGTGTAATGGCTGTACAGAGACAATGAACAATGTAAAGTGTAAACAGCACAGACTGTACAGTGTACAGTGTAATTGCTGTACAGAGACAATGCACAGTGTACAGCGTAAACAGTACAGACTGTACAGTGTACAGTGTAATGGCTGTACAGAGACGATGAACAGTGTACAGTGTAAACAGCAAACTGTTCACTGTACAGTTTAAACAGCACAGACTGTACAGTGTTCAGTCTTTACTCTTTACACTGTACAGTGAACAGTTAAAGAGTACAGACTGTACACTGCAATGTAATAGGGCAAGGAAAATTAATTGCTGTTGCGTATTTTCTGCGTACATATTGAACAAGTTTTCTCTGGGCAGTGTTAAGTCAGCATTTCTTTTCAATTTTTATGCCGGAGATACCTCCATCTATATATAATATTAGAACCAACTACTGGGGATACCTTTTAAACTTTAGAATGAGATATCCTTATTCATGATCTCTTAGTCTGATTATCCAATGTTCAAACTTTTGATTACGTTTGATGACCATTACAGATATAATGCTATATGATTATGATTGGACTAATATCTGATTGAATTAAATTCAGCCGTTCACAAGCCGGATTTTAGAGCATTTAAACAAATGTAAATTCAATCAGGTTAATATGAAATTATCAAAAAACATATTTAAGGACTATTGTCATTTGTATGCTAGCCTTAATAAACATCAATCCAAAACTTGTGTTTGTTTAATTGATATTTAGTTGAATTGATATGATACCATCAACACTAGAAATCAAAACCGTTTTTTTAAAAGTTAAAGAGTACACCTTAACATGTAACGCTAATTGATCAAATTTTTAACTTCTTTTTTGGATATCGAATGTGTTTTAAATTAATCTTGGGTTTAGTAAAACCAGGAGTTTAAGCATTAATCTTGATGTCCACCATTCTAAAGTTTTCAGCTCTGAATACATTAAAGATATTATGAATATTTTATTGTTTAACCATGATGAAAAAACTATTCATCGTCAGAGTGGGTCCATAAATTTTGTTCTAGGATTGAACCTGAAATTGGAAAAACAACTGCCGATTGTTAGACTCAAGATCTCAACATCAATTTGGAATTGAGTTTTTGCAACAAACTTAAATTTTCTATCCCCTATATCTTTGCAACCAGATGGTGTAAACCTTTGATATTTCAAACTAAGACTTTTTGATCTACCAGAATTAAAAGTTTGAAATATCAAAGGTGTAGGAAAACGGGTCCCTAAATTATAAGAATTAGAAAATCTTAGTTTGAGGCAAAAACTCAATTCCTTTAATAAAATTTTAATTGTTTCATTACAATTAAGCATTGTACGGTATTTTTGATTCGCCTATTTTATTCAGATACATATGATTCTCCATTTCAGGAATAACAGACCCAACTTAGCCTTCCTATCATCTTGAATCTTGACATTTATTGACAAAAAATATTTTAAACAAAAAAATAAAAGTGTTTGTGAATGTTTTATTATATTCGCATCCAAACAATATTAACAGACTTAGATTTATATTTTAAATAACAGGGTTACTCATTACATGACTTAAAACTTTTGACTTAAATTATTTATAGTTTTGAGTGACTAACTTAAACCTAAACTAAACTGTATTTTTCAACAGATTTTAGGTCTAAATTCTCATTCTGTGCGGGTACCCTGTGTAAGACAGGTTAAATGTTTGTCTGTACAGCAAAGTAAATCATTTCCATTAAAAATATAAAACTGGAGAAGAGAATTCCTAGTCCTATCACGAGAAATAGGAAAACTGTACTCTGAAAATAATTTTATTTTGTAGACTTTTTTTTGAACTAATGGTAATGGTTGATAATGGTATTTTCCTTTTTCATTTAAAGCTACAAGTTGTTAACGATCTCAATGTTATTAATTATGTTATTAATCATAGCAGCAGCTATTTTATAAATTGTTAATGATGCCAGCTGTTAACAAGCCGTTAAAAATTATTTAATGTAAAAAAAAATTCAAAATGTGTAACATTCTATTATTTAACAAATAAGTGGGGGGGGGGGGGGGGGAGGGAAGGCAGAAGAAGGTGTTTAGGATCATCGAATACATATAAAACTATCTGTTATTAATAATTTCTGCAAGTTTTATGCAATTTTGAGCAAGAAAAAGGAGAAAAATTGCCTTTAATTTAAGCTTTACCTTTAAATATTCAATAGCAGTCCCTTTAATTTAGCTTTACACCTTTAAATAATCAATAGCAGTCCCTTTAATTTATCTGTATCTTTAAATATTCAATAGCAGTCCCTTTATAAAACACATTCATTTAGTATTTTTTCATAAACCTTTTTTTTTGTAAGTGAGTGATTTTAAGAATTAACGGTTTTTGCTGTGTGTTAACAAACTCTTCTGTTATTTTTCAAAAACTTCTTTTTGGTTAACTAGACTTTGCCCAGCCCTACCTGAATCCCAAGTATTAGATTAGAATCATTACAAGGAGTGATTTTTCGAGTTCCCCTAAAAAATATACATCAAAGTAATTAATTATGACACTTTAGGTTTGTAGACCTTGCAGTACTATTAATATAAATAATTGATCTCTGCTCTGTGATGGCCAAGATGCTCCATCAGACATTTTATAGCTATGCTGTCAAAGCTCAACTTTTTTCCTGACGGAAAAGATTTTATGTCAAATGTTTTTTATATATGGTGTTGAATATTCAAAAAAAAAATTCTGATTTTTTTAGACACTAACTTCATCAAAATGATATTAAACATTGCAGATATATAGTGTCTGTTGTAAACAAAGGAATTGAGTCTTTGCCACAAACTAAAATTTTCTCAGCCAAACATTATTGCAACCTGATGGTGTTAACCTTTGATATTTCAAACTTATATTACATGATTTAACAGAATTCATAGTTAGTAATATCTACGGTCTACAACATTGTGTAACAAAGATCTAAAATATAATTTTGTGGCAACAACTCAATTCCTTTCTATGAACTTATTCAGTATTGTTTATGATGTTGGAGCATAAGTGAAGTAATGAGTCAATGCTTTGATTTGTGCTCACATTGATTAAAGTGTATACTGGGCACTAAACTATTGATAGTAGAGATAATATTAGAAAATTTTAAGAGAACTTTGAGAGACACAAAATTTTAACCTTTTGCTGTTTTCTAAGATTGTATCCACAACTCCAGTTTCCTTCATTATTTGAAGCTGCTTTCTGGAAAAAAAAAACCTTAGTAAATAGTCAATCAAAATCAACGAGGATAATAATAGCAATAATAATAATATTATCAACAAAAACAAAAAGAAGGTTAATAGCAATTATTCTTGCTCTCTTGGTTTGCTGAAATTAAAGAGTATTGTACAATAAAACAGTTGTAAAGTTTTAAGTCAATTTCTCGAAACAGGAACATCAGATAGATGTCATATAGGCCTGGATCAACTCCTGAGANCTTAACATTTATTTAAAAAAACGATATTGTTTTGAAATATTTGAATAAGACAGGGTTAAAATCGGTTCCCCCCCCAAAAAAAAATCGATCCAGGAGTTCATGATTTATGATCTTACATAAAAACAGACAAAAAACAAATATCACTTCTTAATATAGGTACTATTTAACCCAGCTCTGCCTAAAACGAAGTATTCTCTACAAAAGTCAACCTTCTCAACTAAGAACCATAAAACCAATCTGAGACAACTCCTTTGGTTCTACCAAGTTCCCCAATCAGAATGTGAGGCAAATCAGTCAAGTGGCTGATAAAATATATGATTTGACAAACAGAGATTACTACTTATCTAAAAATATTTGTAGAGAATGGCAAAACCTGAATAAAGGAGTGAATGGTGAGTTTTTTCGAAGATAAACCCCAGTCTGTGATGGTAAAGAAGCATCAACTGCTATCCTGGATGCCTCGCAAGGGTATTCAGCTAAAACACATCAGCTATAATTGATGTAACTGATACAGCTGTACTGTTGTTATTTTCAATAAAGACGTAGATGATATTTTTTACATTACAATTAGAAAGAATTTATTTTCCTAACATGTTTATACAATACAGATAATAGTAAACTCAGTCAGAGCTGAAAACTTTAGAATGAGGGATATCATGATTAATGCTTAAACTCCTGGTTTAGTAAAACCAGGATAATGTTAAAACGCATTCAATATCGAAGAAAGAAGTTAAACATTTAACCAATCAGCAATCAGCATGTTATTTTAAGATGTACTCTTTAACTTTTGAAAACCCAGTCTTAATTTCTGGTGTTGATGGTGTCATATCAATTGAACAAAACAACCATTGAACGTATTTAAGTTTTGGATTAATGTTTATTAAGACTAACATTTAAAATGACAATAGTCCTAAAATATGTTTTTAATAATTTCATATTAACATGATTAAATGTATATTTGTTAAAATGCTCTAAAAGAGAGCTTGTGAATAGCTGAGTTTAATTCATTTGGATATTAGACCAATATAGGATTGTGTCTGTAATTGTTATCAAACCTAACTTTTATGCAGTAGAAATATCCAAAAAGAGGATTATGGAGACAATCAAAAGTGTACATTAGATAATCAGATTAAAGGATCGTGATTAAGGATATCTCATTCTAAAGTTTTCAGCTTTGGGTTGTTTTCTCTCTTTTCACACTTCTTCCCACAGAATTAGTTTTGTCAATTACCATTATGTCAACTGGCCCTAATATGTACACAGGACAAATTTTGTTCACAAAATATACATTTTTTAGATTATTGATCTGATAGACTCCAGATTTTCAAACCCCAAACTTTATATCGTGGATCCCAATCTTTTCATTGGAGACCCCAAACTTTTAGTTTTTGAACTCAAATTTTCATGAAAAACCCTTAGATTTTCAGTGGAGACCTTAAACTTTTCGTTTTAAACCCCCAATTTTCATTGGAGATCTGGGGAGGCTCTTGTGTAAATCTGAAAATTTGAGGTTAAAACAAAAAGTTTGGGGTCTTTAATGAACATCTTGTGGTGTCTTCACTAAAAATCTGGGGCTTTGGTGTAAAGTTTGGGGTCTTGGAAGAAAAGTCTAGGGACTTCAATGAAAATCTTGCGGCTCCAATGAAAAGCTGGGGTCTCAACTGAAAATCTGGTGTTGATCTCCAATGAAAATTTAGGGTTTAAAACGAAAAGTTTGGGGTTTCCAATAAAAATCTGGGGGTCTACTATGAAATTATGGGGGTCTCCAATGAGACTATCATACAGGTCTCTGACTCCCAATATTGTTCTCCTTCCCCCTCTCGCCTCCCTATATTAACTTTTGAGACTAAGTTCATTTTAAGAAAACATTAGATAACAATGATTGCAGTGTACAGTGTAATTGCTGTACAGAGACAATGCACAGTGTACAGTGTAAACAGTACAGATTGTACAGTGTACAGTGTAATGGCTGTACAGAGACAATGAACAATGTAAAGTGTAAACAGCACAGACTGTACAGTGTATAATACGTCTCTGGCTCTATATCTTATTTTGTTTACAATTGAAAACTGGTTTCAAACAACAATATGCAGTATGCAGTACACAGTTCGGAAACAATATGACCGGAAAGTATGAAAATCTAACAAGTGTGCTCAACTAGGATGTACTGTTGTTGACTTTAAAAGGCACTATAATAAAACAAAGAGATCTGAAATGGATATTTCTTAACATTTATTTTAAAAAACGATATTGTTTTGAAATATTTGCATAAGACAGGGTTAAAATTGATTGGTTTAGAAATTAACAAAGGAATAAATAATGAATATTTGTAGAGCTTCATGTTGGTGGAGCAGATCAACAGGAACTGGTTCAACAGGGCTTATCAAACATAGTAGATAGAGATCTTGGCTTGTCTTGCTGGCTTTAAGCGTTTATGTTGTCTCTGGAAAGCATGATGCACTGGGAACCCTCGGATATAAGCAAGCCTGCTGTTAGCTAAGTATCTGTATCATTATCATGAAGGAGTCAAGAGGCTCCCAGTGTCGGAGCTGTTACTAGCTCAACTCTCCTATTCTGACTGAGGGATTCATACGTCTTGAAAACAAGCAACGGGCAACGGCATCAGAGTCAGTAAAATCATCTTCCTTATATTTCGAATTTGTGTTGACATTACCGGTTAAATTAAAATGGGAGTTAAATTTAACAAAGAGTAAAACAAATTCCGAACTTCAAAATCCAACCAACCAAGATATAACCTGCCCAGATTTCCATATTTTAAAATGTTGACTTTAAAAGTCACTATAATAAAACAAAGAGATCTGAAATGGATATTTCTTAACATTTATTTAAAAAAACGATATTGTTTTGAAATATTTGCATAAGACAGGGTTAAAATCGGTTGGTTTAGAAATTAGCAAAGGAATTAATGATGAATATTTGTGGGCACTTCATGGGAGTGTTGTAGAGCTTCATGTTGTTGGAGCAGATCAACAAGAACTGGAACAACTGGGCTAATCAAACATAGTAGGTAGAGATTGCGGCTTGTCATGCTGGCTTTGAGTGATTATGTTGTCTCTGGAATGCATGATGAACTGGGAACCCTCAGGTATAAGCACGCTTGCTGTTAGCTAAGTATCTGTATCATCATCATGAAGGAGTCAAGAGGCTCCCTGTGTCTCTCCTATTCTGACTGAGGGGCTGGGAGGTGTAGAGGGTTGGGGGGGGGGGACGAAGGAGTAAGGGTGACATGTGGGCGGAAAAGGATTCATACTCCTTGAAAACAAGCAACGGGCAACAGCATCATAGTCGGTAAAATTGTCTTCCTTATATTTCGAATTTGTGTTAACAACTGTAAATTGTGGTAAATTTAAGCCAGTTGACATAGTGGTAATTGACAGAACTGATTCTTTGGACTTCTTCAAACAATCTGACACACACTTTTTGGTACTCAATCTATATGTCCCTCTTCTGGCAATTGTCATATCATAATCTTGGCAAAGGAATTGAGTCTTTGCCACAAACTCAAATCTTCACATCCCTATATCTTTGCAGTTTGATGGTGTTAACCTTTGATATTTCAAACTTACATTAACTATTAATTTAGGAATCATAGTTTGAAATATCTAAGGTCTACAATGTTTGATTGCAAAGATATAGGGATTAGAAAACCATACTTGGTGGCAAGAACTCAGTTCCTTTTATTTTTATTTTTGGTAACTTCCAAACTTTAACAGTTAAGACATCCCACATTTTATTGCAGCTGGCCTTAGTTCTATACATATATCAAAATTTGTTTTAAAAATTATGATCTAGAAATCTGGATTTATTTATTTTATTTATTTATTTATGTTATTTACTGGTTATGTTATAGTTACCCATGAATGCCTCTGCTTCATCACCATAACCAAGCACTAGATAGTTACTCTAAAACAATGGTCATAGTTAGTTCTAAGGGACATAACCAAGCACTAAATAGTTACTCTAAAACAATGGTCATAGTTAGTTCAAAAGGACATTACCAAGCACTAGATAGTTACTCAAAAACAATGGTCATAGTTAGTTCAAAGGGACATAATCAAGCACTAGATAGCTACTCTAAAACAATGGTCATAGTTAGTTTAAAGGGACATAACCAAGCACTAGATAGTTACTCAAGACAATGGTCATTAGTTAGTTCAAAGGGACATAAGATGTAATTTTAAATGATTCTACAAAAAGGTTTAAAAAAAGGTACAAAAAAATTCTGAAAAGGTTTAATGTTCCTGCAGAAATTCAGCTTTATATCAACACCCTGTATAATAACCAACTTTCACGTGTATTTACGGACAACTTCTCTACTGATGGATTCCCCTTTAATAGAGGAGTATTTCAAGGTGACCCACTTAGTCCCATCATTTTTCTGATGGTTTTAATCCAATCATTGAATTTCTACAGAGTAAAAATGATTATGGATTTAATCTGAATGAAGAGAAAATTGTTACTCTACCATATGCTGGCGACTTTTGCCTGATAACAACAGATCTGAGAAAACATCAAAAAATTCAAAATGAAATAAAATCCAAGATTGAAAGTATGGGAATGAGATTAAAACCAGAAAAATGTAGATCATTTTCCATCAGATCAGGTGTACCTAACATAATAAACTTTTTTATTGGTGAAACTGAAATTCCAAATTTATTTCAAGAAGAGCAGAAATTCCTTGGCAATCTTCTATTTCCTATTGGTAAACTTAGTGATACGTTCGATTACATCGAGAGTGAATTTGAAAAAAAACTTTTTTTAAGATCTAGATATTTATTATCTCCGTATCGAGATTATATAAATTGTACAAAATTGTTTACATGGATCAATTAAGAGTATTTTACATCAATATCATTTACATATATTTTGAGAAAATTATGGAGGATTCAATTTACGGATACATTTTTAAGGAAAAATTGTTGTTGAGGATACATAGACTATGTGAAAGCATACAAATTGAGAATTATACCAACGAGGAACATTTATGGTTCCTCGTTAATATCTGGGCTACCTAAACAAGGATAGTTGAAAGAGACAAGACTTCAGTGTTTTCGTTGTCCCCATATCATGAGACATCTTGGTTTCTCGGCGGTGAAGTTTGTCTCCGTTATCCACCGGCTTGGGAGGCGTTTCAGTTCTGTTCAGACGTTATATGTCCGTAGAGAAGTTCCGCCCCGAGATTGGTCCGGTTCTGGGATAAGTCAGACTCAGAGATCTGTCCGTCCATCAGCTAGCGCCAGGGTTTAGTTTTTACGTTATATTTTTGCAGAAATGTTCAGATCCGTGATCAGTCCGACACCAAGTTATTCCCTCAATCCGCTCTTTTTCCGGTTTCAGTTTAAGCTAAATAATGTAAAAAATATTTGTTAGAAATAGTTACCATGATTGAAGGTTTTAGTGTTGGCTCGATTATTCATTTTGACTCAAAATTTAGGTCTATTTCTGTTAAATAAAAAGTAAAGAAATCTTTTTCACATTTGCATGTAAGACATAAGATATTTTGAAAAAGTGGGGTTTTAATTTTAAACCAATCAGACAGTTAGTAGGCATTATTAAGTGTTGGAAAATGAGAAGGAATAATTAAAAAAGAGTATTATTAAGGTAAATTGAATTGAAAAACATTGAATAAAAAGACATTGTTTTCCTGCGAAGACACTATTTCTTTAAGGATTCTCAGTTTTATCTTTCATTTTCCTTTGTTAATTGTGGGATTCAACAGAGTTATTTTTAATAACACTCTTTTGTTTTTTAAAAAGCAGACAAAAGTGTTTCAAGTTCGTGACCTTAGCCTACTGTATAGGGTAAATAAAAAAATAATTGTAATTTTTCATAGACGTACTTGTGCGAGGCCCAGCTAGATCCCATGAAAATCTATTTTTACTGTAATTTTTTTCCAGAAAAGTTCACTCTGGGATGAGTCCAAAACCGAGATCCCCTCCATGACCACTTTGTCCTGTCCCGTGTTCGGCATGGGCGTGTTCCTCAACCATCAATTTATGTGCACGGGCAGCTCCAGCGACCATGATCAGCATGTTTCTCGTCCAACTATTTTTAAACAAATAAAACAAAAATGAACCAGTCATAGGATGCATAGAATGATTCTCAATTAGAACTTTTTTCTTAGGCGAGTAGGTAAAAAATAGATGAAGCTCAAGGTAAATTCTTTATTTAAGAATGAGGCTAGATTTAATTCAAAAAAGGTTTTTTTTTTTTTAAATTTTCAAAGGTGACATAATTAGTAAGGTCTCAAGAAATGTGTGGTTCCAAATGAAAATTAGATAAAAAGTGTCATCTTGAAATAGTTTAAAATCTTATTTTTTTCCTGCATCAGTCCTGCTGATGAGGTATGAAAAGATCAGTCTGATAGTCGTTGATTTCCGGAATTTTCAAAACAGATTTATCAAGACTGATTATTGATCATGGGTTTGACATTAAAAAAGCATTGTTTTTTTCCAAAAAATGACATAATGAGGGGGGGGGGGTTCAAGAAAAAGAAAAAAATCTCTTTTTTTCCTACCATTAAGAAATCAGCAAAAAGAAATTTAGGACTTGAGAAACAATTTTTTTTTTTTCATGAGTCAGTGTTAGAAATGTTTTTAAAAGGAAAAAAACAGTTCAGAATGAAGCTTTTAACACTCATTGTGCCACTGTTCAAAGTCTCATGCAGTGGTTCTATTTCCCTTCATTTTTTTGAAGGGAGGTTAAAAATAAATAATTAAAAAAATTTTGCTTTTCAACTTTACATTAAATTCAGTTTTCCGAATATTTTCATATAAAATGAGTATATTTTCTTTCTTACAGATATCTTCAAGCTATTTAGCCACTTTTCACTCCTCAGGTTTGAGATAAATGAAGTAGTTAGGCAATAGGAATAATTTAATTTGGAATAAAGGTATATAGTAGGAATAGTTTAAAGTTAAGAAATAATTTCCACTCTTCAGAAAAATTAAGATTATATCCTTTTGGGAGAATTTTTGGAAAATTTTAGATTTGCAAAAAAAGTGCTAGTTTAAAGCACAATGATATATTCCACTCTTAAAATAAATTAAGATTTTTTTTGGGAAAATTTTAGACTTGCAAAAAAAGTGCTAGTTTAAAGCACGACAATATATTCCACTCTTAAGATAAATTAAGATTTTTTTTTATAGAAAATTTTTGATTTGCGAAAAAGTGAAGTGGAATATAATTAGGGAGGAGGATAATTGTTATTGATCTAAACGTAAGAGGAGGAGGGGAGTAGGGGTAGTGTAAGTAGTGGGAGTAGGAGTAGGATGAGCTAGGGTATTAGGATAAGGAATTGGTAGGTGAAGAAGGTGTTACATACAGGAAGACCAAGAGGGGCTTGCCTTCCAGGGGGGGGGGTTACCCAAGAGAGGCGGCCACCGACGGTTTCAGGTCCTCGAACACACAGGACTCTCGATGAGCCTCAACCCATTGGGAGAATTTAACGCCGCATGGAATAGAGGGACCCAGGGTTGGTTTGGGCATGTCCATTACCAGCCTGAAGAGTGCACTTCTGGACCTTTGACTCATCAGACCAAAGTTCAGGACAAGAGAGGATTGAATCCTTGGACATGGGTACTGGCTTAGCTGCGCCACCTTTAATCCCTGCCCATGAGGTTAGACTCCCTCACAACTAAATCATCCCCTGCACAGGCCCCAACCCCCTCACCCTTTACCTCACTGGGGTTGTCCAACCCGTCCAGCATCCCCTGGAAGTCCACCATGTAGGCCTCTATTCCACCCTCCTCCACCTCCATAGGAACAAGTATGTTACTATCGGACATTTCTCTGAAAAATAACAACATAGAGAAAGTATAATTTATAACCTTAATGTGTGCATTAGCACAGTTATCCTTGTAGGATCCATGTGCGATGCATTCACAGTGATTTGCGTCGTGATTTTTATACATTTTTAAAATGTTTTCAAAATTTCTCTTTAAAATATCTTTAAGGTTTTTAATTTTATTCCGTCCTCGGTAGGAAGTAGCGGTTTGTTCCAGATTATCCAGAAACAAGAAGAGGTCAATTGTTTCATAGAAGGTTACATTTATATAAACCGTAATAAAATTTGTTGCATTTATTGCGATACTTGGATGAATAATTAGACTTAGATTACGTGATTCGTTAGAATCATCCTTGGAGGATGGACTCTTTACGAATTTTAATTTAAACAATATTGGTTGCTTTCCTCTGATATGAAAGTGGAGAGGCTTACACTGCAATCTGCATGACTTTCCTTTTTTGGATTCAACACAAAGTGTCTGACTTGTCTTGCGTGGTGACATCATGGTTTGGTTTGATAATACCTTTGTTGTGGGAGTTGCAATTATTACTACCCACTGCTCGGCGTCAGTTAAAATAGAACTATATATTGCAAGAAAAAATAATTTAAGGTTCATGTTCATATTCAACAAATAAGGGTTTATTAATTTTAGCGGTGTGATGAAAAATAAATTGTTTTAACTTTAAAGGTTCTAATAAATTTGGCCAGAAACCGAGGTATAAAGTTACACTATTTTCTGAGAAAGTATCGCTGTTGAAAATGTCTACTAGGTTGTTGAATCTCAGTTTCCTTATCAAGAGAACTTTTTCCAGTGTAAGATTTGCTCTGAAATGGTTCCTGGCTAATTTTTTGGCGGATTCTAGTCGTGCAATGATATCAAATATTCTCATGTCAAGGAAATTACCATTTGTCGACCAAAAAACATTACAGAATTTTCTTACGCAAACTGACAGTTCACCACAAGGGGTGTTTGCAATTATTGCGCTTTTAAAATGAAATGGAAAATCTGGAGATATTCTATATTGTTGGATTTCTTTAGCCCAAAAAGCGTTATTGTTTATTGATTTCCTAAAAAAAACACTTTTATTGCATCTATGTACGATTCGGTTTC